TACAAATGGAATCCATGTTTCATCATAACTGAGCCTGAACATTTACCACAAAAAAGGTGTAAAATAATATTTGGGCAGATTTTCCTTTTTTGGACATGGACATAAAATATCAGCTGTTTTGAGAGCCTGACAGGAAAATCCGCTGAAATGGAACAGAAAACTGTAATATTGTCCACCCAAGTTTCCAGCCTATTTCTCCTGGCCTCACAAGGAAAGTTAAAAGAAAATTTAAAATCTTTCCACCCACACCATCCTTCAAAAGCATCATTCCATCTGATCTCTTTAATCATGTTTCAGTCACCTCCCCAATCCCTTCAACCAACCCCTGTTCAGTATCATTTTTCTTTGACGTGTTTAGCAGTGTTTAATTTTCTTAAAGCACCAATATAATTGCATGTTATTATGCTCAGTCAGGCTGAACTCAGGTAAACTGTCTCTGTGTCCTGTTCAATCCTGAACTTATCTTTAGTTCTACATCTAGATAATCGCCAAGATCTTGATCTCGCTCACAAAAGGCATTGGCTGTCTAATCCCCTACCTCTCCTTCTCCGCTGCTGAAACCCTCCTCCACGTCTATAACACCTCAAGCCCACCCACCCTAGATTTATCCTATACTATCTCCACTATTTGTGGTCGATGTTCTGCTCAAGGTCGCAAACGTGCGTGACCTTTTACCATGCGCTACTGCTCCCTCTTTGTGTGTGTGTTGATTTGCAAATGTTCAAGTCTAAAATTTATGCCCTAATTTTATAATATTGTGCTATCACCACCAGGCTTATGTCCCACCTCTCATCCACTGCATATCCCTCATCCTCACTCACTGTTGCTGCCCAAACCTTCAGGGAATATACTCTTGGTTCTGCAATTCTCTTCCTTAACCTCACCCCATTGAAATCTCTGCCTTCTTCTTCAAAAACTGTCCTCAAATTATGCCTGACAACAAGGTGCAGAGCTGGATGAACACAGCAGGCCAATCAGCATCTCAAATTATGCTTCTTTGATCATGCCTTCTGTTATCATCATCTTCTCACTTATCTCGTTCTTAACCATTTATATTGTAAACTGATTCAGGACAGGTGCTGGTTAAAAGCAAGTAGTTGTGATTCACAGGGTTAGATTGCATCCAAAGTGTTGTATAATTTAGCTGCAGCAAGTGGAAAGGAGTACCTAACTATAACAATTAATTACTGCTGTCCTTTCCAAATGTATTTTCTTCTGTTGTATTTGTCACTTACTCTACTTCAATATGCTGTGATATACAGCAAAGAATTGAGCAAGTGACAATATGATCACAACTCTTTATGTAGGAAACTGTTTTAATAGTTGGCTATTGGAGTAATTTGAAAAGATTCTGATCTTCCGCCATCTAGAAAAGCACTTTACATTTCCTCACACCCATCGCAGAAGTCCAACTTCAGATCTACTAGTCATAACATGGGGACTTAACATGGTTAGGAAACATTAGAGGATGATCTTAGGGGACTTGACAGGATAAATGTGCAAGGTTGTTTCCCATGTGGTAGAACCTATGACCAGATAGCATTGAATTGAATTAGGTTTATAGTCGCATGTGCTCAAGTGAGTACAGTGAAAAGTTTACAAGTCGCTACTTATGGTGCCATTTTGGTATAAATGTACCTAGGTACAGAGCCTTAGGTACAAAGCAGAAAAATGAGGAAAACAAAATTAAAAAGTTAAACATTACAGCTCTTCTTACTAAAAAGTGGAAAAGCAAAGAAACACAGTTAACAGTCCAATACCAGAGTCCATAAGTGTCTAGCCATGCTGAGCTTGCACCGCTCACAAGGCCTTGACTTTCCCCATTCTGGGCTCAACCTCACCCCCACCGCTGCCCGGGCTCCCTGCTCTCGCCGCCTTGCAGCCATTTGTTCTCCGGTTCTCACCACCAGCCGCCCCAGGCTGCCTGCTCCTGTACTCCTGCTAGATTCCTGCTCTGGTACTGCTCTGGGCCCCCAGCCATTTCCAAGCTCTGGATCTCAAAGAAGCTGTGATGCCACCGACCTCCTCAGTTCTGCCCGGGCACACCAGCTGCCCCGTGGCTGACCTCCAAAGCCTCCAGCTGCTGCCATCGTCACTGCCGCCTCCACAACTGAGCTCCCTCCAAAACGTAGGCACAGAAAAGAAAAACAAAAAAAAACGAGAAAAAGAAACAATCTAACAAGCAAGAAAAGAAGAAAGAAAAGTAGCTGGAGCAGTTGATCTCTGGCTCAGGAGCCAACCTCTGCCGCCATATTTATTTTAGAATTGCAGAATAAGAGCATTGCACATTTAAGATAGAAATAAGGAGGAATTTCTTCTCTCAGAGGTTTGTGAATCTGTGGAATTCCTCACCACAGAGTGCTGAGTCTTTCGGCATATTGAAGGCTGAGACAGATAGATTTCTAATCAGTCAGTGAATTGAGGGTTATAGGGAAAAGTTAGCAAAGTGAAATTGAGAATTGTCAGATCAGTCATAATGTCATTGAATGTTGGAGCAATCCAATGGGCTGAATGGCCTACTTTTTCTCCTCTGACTTAGGGTCTTATCAATCCCCGGTCTGTTTCACACCAGACTGGGCAGAGGTCATATTATCATTGGGAGGAGAGTTTGTGACGAAAGAAGAGGGCAGAAATGGGACATGAGAAAGTAAAGAAGTTTTCTGCTCAGTTATTTTTCTGCATAAAAGAACTCTACTTATTAAAAAATAACCTAAATGGACAAACTTGTAGGACAAGGCATTATAAAGTATAAAGCAATACATCCAGAAGGAAAACATATACATTTATGTGTAAAGCTGTACACAAACTGAGCTCCACGTCTCGATGAGTTTATTTAGCACAGGTGTCAACATGGAAGAACTATGGGAAATGAGGAAAAGAAAGTCTTGACAGATCACAATTCCATTTAAACACTTGGAGTTGTTTGATTTTATAAGGGAGGTGCGTGTAAAACAGGCTTAAAATAAGTTTTAAAATTGTCCCTTGGTGAAAGGAGGCAAAGTCTGTGATTGGGATAGTGCAGTCAGTTACTAGAAACATTCATTGAATAGTGGCAACAGGCTCTTCCTTCTCTTACTTGAGGCATGGGGTGAAGCAAAAGAGATCAAAAGCAAGAAATAAAAATAAATTGAAATTATAGGGGAAGCTAAAGATTAAAAAAATATTTACCTACCTCTAGTAAATGTTTGGGCCACTGAATGTGACCTAAAGCTCATTTAATGCCAATATGGAGAATTTCAAATCAAACCACTTCTTTCAAGCATGACCTTTAGCAACTGTGTGCTGTTTCCAAAAGACAACAATGTAGGGACTCTCCAATGTTTATTTAGAAATAGATTTTTTTATAAATGCCAAGATTTTAGAATAGAATTGGATCCCATTAAATTAATAAATAATTTGTTGGGCTGCTGTATAAGTGAAGTGATTTAAAATAGAATATTAAGATTCTATGGTTGGATCCATTTTGATTGGATAAAGTATGTGTTTCCCAGGATGTAGTATGTAAAGAAACAAAAACAGCAATTGAAACAAAACGGTATTTTCATTTGTTAACTTTAGTTATTTGTATTGTGTATTACTCAGAACATCTGGACCTGGCATGGACTGTACATAAGAAACTTCAATCCAATGAATTAGCTTGATGCTTTGTACTTCATGGATTTACTATCAGTTTTATGAAAGTTTTGTAGTTGAGCAAGTGCAGAAACATTTAACATTGGCATTTTGCAACATTTTGGAGTTAGGCAACAAACAATTTTCAGCCCTTTAAAAAATCCATTATTCACTACTTATGGATTGCAAAATCACTATTTTATATTTGCCATCCAGAAAAGGGACATGCAGATACCTTTCCCCATCAAATTTGAAAATATCTAGTTTTAAATATAGTCTCTATCCAGCATCATGTAATTTTAGGGTTGGAGGCTATTTTTTGACAGTGACACCAGGTCTAAACTGCTACCCGCTCAGAACTGAAGTGAACCTTTAGCAACAAAAACAGAAATTGTTGGAAAAGCTCAGCAGGTCTCTCAGCATCCGTGGAGAGAAATCAGAGTTAACTTTTTGGGTCCAGTGACCCTGTTCTGAGGAAGGGTCACTGCACCCAAAACTTTAACTCTGATTTCTCTCTACAGATGCTGCCAGACCTGCTGAGCTTTTCCAGCAATTTCTGATTTTGTTTCTGATTTACAGCATCTGCAGTTCTTTTGGTTTTTATGAACCTTTATCAAAGTGGCAGCAGTTCTGTTGTTGAATCAGAAGATGAAATGTTTGAACATTGCTGCTGACAAACCCAGTGAGTGGACAGTGAAACTCAAGCAGGCTCTGAACTTCTGAGCTAGCATCCAGTGGGATACATCAACATTCCAGTGGATTATGGCTGCCTTCATCCATTCTTATGGTTATAGAGAGCCGAGAAGTAGAATAATTGAAGACTGGCAATCAGCTTGTGAATCCTCCCACTACTGCATACTACTTTTCTTGTGAAGAGATGACAACAACAGCTTGGAAAAATAAAGAACATTTCCTTGGCTCTAAAATGTCAATATTTTCATCCAAAGGCTGCTGCCATAAACAAATACAATGATGACACAAGAAAGTTTTAGTTTATAACAGTGACTAGGGTAGAATTTTTTACACCACCACAACCAACATAAAAGAGTGAAGTTTACAAAATTGAAATAAAATTACAAGTTCATACTCAGAAGGTAAATGCTGAGGCACTTAAATTGCCAGCTTAAAAAAAAGTAGGTGCTATTTTCTAACTTCCAATCCAAATCCATTAACCCCACTGTAAAAGAATATTGTTGTTCTTGAGCTTGTTAGCCCTTGTTTTAGCATAAAATTGAAGATATCAATCTTCCAAGTACATTAGACTAAAAGCATTTGTCTCATAAGGAAAAATCAGAAAGGCTTTTTTAGGGTTATTAGAGTGTATTTCACAATCACTGAACAACATTTTTATAACCTTCTGAGTTATTCAAACAAACTTCTGTTATGTCCTTCATTACGCACCCTGTACGCATTCTGTAAAATGGAAATATTTACATTCGGGGCATGCAAATCATACTATTACTAATAACTAGAGTAGCTGCCAGTATTGCTTCAGGTAAGTGTGAATGAAAAGCTTTGAACTTTACTATAATTATATTACAGCTGTAATGTACGCACAGCTGTGCAGGCATCAAGGTTCCTGGAGATAAGATGAGGATCAAAAGCTAAACTCTGTGGTATGACTAAGCTGAAAATATACGTACGCCACAGCAATAGCAGTGAGTGTCCCACTGGAGTGGAACTCATGACCAGAAGGGAGAGTTGTTGCACCATTGTCAGTGGAAAGAGTTTATACCTCAAGTTGAATTCATTAAGCCACACTGCAGAGCAATGCTCATACTATAATTGGAACTTCAGTGAAATCTACCTTTGTGAGGAATACATAGGAGCAACAGGACATAAACTTAACGTAACTTAGTCAATCTTTAATGCCAAGGAAACAATTGTTTGATTTTCAATGACATTGGAGTAGCATAAAGAGATTTTTTTTAATGGTACGTTTGCTGTTTGTATCATATCAGTTTGACATTAAAATGTACTCTGCCGGCAACTGGGCCACACTAGGAAATGATTCTTGCTTACTCAATCACTTTGCTGTGGCTGATTGCCTTACTGAGTGCTCAAGGTGAAAAATGTTTGGAAGTTTACAGAGAGTTAATTTTAATCAGTGCAGTTTAGTGTTATTGTCTCAGCTCTGATAGCAGAGTGACAAATTCAGACGCCTCTCTGCTAGAGATTTTAGTCCCCTCTTTTGTCACTTATGACTGTCTTTCTTACCAAAGGGTCTGTGGGCACCTCTGCCCTGAATTGAAACCACCTGTCCTATTCAATCTCAGTACAAAACAATACCAGATCATAGGCAGATATTTTTTTCATACTTCTAAAAAAAATGCAGAGGCTGAGGATAGAATTATGCTTGAATTATTAAATATCAAATAAACTAAATGTTCATTGTAATGGTTATCGAGACGTAGTCAAATACAAAATTGTAGTCCCTTTTATAAAAAGATAAATTCAAACCCAACTTTTAATTTGAAACTTTGCAATAAGGACAATCCTTTTCTCAAATAGGACGAACAAACAATTAATAATGGAGTCTATTAAGGTCTGATTGTTGAAACTAAGAGGGAGGTAGAATTTCAGTCCTTTGAAGTATGAATCAGGCCTCATTACAGAGATATAATCTACATTCATACATTTATGTTAGTGACTTGAATCTATTGGGAGAGATTGAATTCCGTTACATAGTGCATCCTTACTCTGCAACTTTTCTCAGGCTTTCTCAAGTTAATCCAGTAGGTGACCCAATAATACAATGCTGTAGGACAATGACAGACGCTACACTGCAACAGTGCTGCACTGGCTGGGATTGAAAGACAAAGGAGAAAAAAGTCTAGCATTTTTAAATGAGTCATAAATTTGTCTGGTAACCTATTATACAGATAACATCACAAAGTGCTCTAGAATGTGCAATTTGTTACAGAAATACAAAATATTTTATTATGATCAAAAAACATTTGTAATGATATAAAATACATGAACTTTGTAGAGAAATGTAACTCAGAGAATGACTCATGTTAGTAATTACAAACTGTTAATAGAGGCTTCTTTAATCCTGTGAGCATAAGAAGCTCTTAAATTGTCTGAAACCTTACATGGTTAAAAAAAGAAATAAAATCTGTGACTAGAAGTGTGAACACTTTGTTTCTTCTAGAGAAGAAAAGAGCAGATGATTCATTAAACTAGGACCTCCTTTAAGTTGGCAAAGGTTAAAAAAGAAACTAATTGTGTCTTTCTGCTCTTCCTGACCAGTATATAATCTGGTTTGCAGGACTCTGCAGACTGGTCTCCTTCACATGTGCAGGAACAGTCAGAAAGCAGAAAGCTCCAGGTGGCTCTCAAGTACTTCGCTGCCAAAAAAGCCCACGCTGGAAAGCAAGTCCAAAGGGGCTCCCTAGAGGGAGTTGGGTTTAGCCCGGAAGAGAGTGAGATTAGTAAAGCATGACTATACAACCCATGCTGGTGGCCGGCTTTCAGAGGAAAGAGGAACAGTAACGGCAATTAGCAAGACTGAAAGCTCCAGAAGGCTTACAATCAGTGATCTGCATAGTTCCCTCAGAAGGAATTTTCTTCCAGTGCATGGTTTCAGATGTCCACTGCTGCCTGATCCATTACAGGCCGTCCACTGCGGTAAGCACATCCCACCTCAGTGTGGTAATCACTGACATTTTTCACCAGGTTTTGACCTGTTTACTGCAAGCTGAATAACTTCTGTCTCTTCAAAGCCACCAGCTTCCTTTGAGCTGTCGGGTATCTTCAACAGATTCAAACCTTTGCGTGTCATTGCCAAGAGAACGTGGGATCACTGCAGTACATTGTACACCTTTGTGGAGTTATGTTATCAAACGGTTCTCGGAAAAGGACATTGACAAAAAAAATCTTTATGTGACCTAACAAAGACTATATACTGAAGAAATATTTGAGGAGCTCAGTAATTGTGCAAACGTGGAAGGTGGCAAAAGAGATCCCACACAGGAGATGATTCATCACCTGAGCTATGGATGTTGATGAACTTCATTCAAAGGATAACAGAGGTCAGACAGAAAAGACCAGCCACAGACTCTCGACCTACCACATAAGTGTCCTTGGCATTCCAGTATGTTTCTTTTTATGAGATTATTTCTAGTGCCAAGAGCTTCAGTACAATGTGGAAATGGATACTGACAAAGGGTGCCTCAGCCTTTACATACCTGGCTTATGTCCTTCTCCTGTTCCTCATCTGTTCTTCGTCTGTTGCTTGCAATGACATCAGCAGAGATATGTTGTCTCCAAATATTACAAGGTCTTCATCCAGCCTGGGAAGGCATGTGCGCAGCTACAAATACCTGGAAGGAGACGTGCGGTGGAGGAAACTTTTCTCTTTCACCAAATACTTTCTCAAGATCGACAGGAATGGCAAGGTCGGTGGAACAAAGAAGGAAAACTGCCCTTTCAGTGAGTATAGAATGCTCATTCAGTTTTTTTTTCCAGATGTTAGGAAATAAAATATTTACTGTAGCTTCATTTTTAAAAATTAAAACAGCTGATTTTTATTTTTTTAGCAATAACACATTGTTTCATTAACGCAGACTTTTTGCATGCTTTGTGAGGGAGATTTAAAGCATGATAAGTTGCCTGCTGTTAGCAGTTCTCATATATTTGCTGGAATGATTTTCTTTGATAGCAGTTAATATTATCCAAGTAATCTCAAATCTGCTGTCATAGCTTTAAGACAGTTATTGAATGTCATTGAAGCCATGTTATATTAAGTTAAGAATACCGAGTCTTCTGCAAGTTTATAAGAAGTGTCTGGTTCTGTTTTTGATTTCTTTTCCCGCATGTTGCTTTAAGTGGTGGTAAAGTTAAGGCACCACCACAGCTATTTGTCTTCTCCAATGCCTTCTTCCTGGTAACCCAATACTATTTCATGTCTGCATTGTCAGTAACATATGTGGCATGTTGTGGTCCTTTGTGGTATTCACTAATTTTACAAATTCTCATCATATTCCTCTGGAATTTTAAGCTTCTAAACACTATGATTAGCAAAATGTATCCCAAAACAAATACAGTACATTTGATTTTATTTGGAGAATAAATCCTTTCAAAATTGTCAAGCTTTCTTTCTGTGAGGCCTGATATTAAACAATGAAGATTTTGTTTACAGTCTCAAATGCTTTAAAAACATGAACAAAAATGCAGCATTTAGTTAGTTAAATAGAACATTTCTTTTCATTTCAACATTACGTCTGACATTATCAAAGTCAGTGCTTTGGCAACTTGCCGCTGCTTTGTAAGAGTGACATTTACCATGAGACCAGATTAGATTAATTGTGGTCTCTTTGGCCCCATCTGCCCATATTTATTGTTTCATAGCATCCAAAATGCACGAGTCTTGTTTCTGTGTTCTGGAATCTCTAAGTACACAATCATAAATAAAGGAGTAGATAAAATGTCCGATGATCTATTAATGAAACTGAATTTGCAAACTGTTTTCAGTTTACATAGAATATAGAGTAACAAAATTCTGAAAAAAACATTGTTAAAATTGAAATAGGATCTGAACGGAATAGATCACTTTCACTCATAAATGAATTGGACCTTGCCTTATCAGAAATAAATATAAAAAATAGAAAACGTAACATATATCTTTAAACTAAGAATTACTTCTAGGCAATAAACAATTAGTCTGATTTAAGCAACTTGCAAGGTTATTAAGTATCTTTTCCTGTCCCTGTTGTACAAACAACAGGAATATATTAAGACTAGAATATGTGAAAAGGCCATTCAGTCTATCCAGCCCATTTCAGTTTGCCAAAATTCTGTGAATATGCCACTGACAGGCTATTTTATTTGTTTTTTGTAACAGCAATAAGTCTGTCTCCTTCCACTCCCTAATCAGAAATGTGTCTATTTCTCTTGTCAGTGATTCAGCAGACCCAACATTCGTCACACTTGATGGCAATTTGCTCCATTAATTTATGACTCTTGAGTCTGAATAAGCTACCTCTTCAATCATATTTAGTTTGTGGTTTCCTAAGCTTGTAATCATACACTTATAATCAGTGGCCCCTGGGGTATATAAAAGATAGTGCAATTAAAATTAATATCAGTTTTCAGTTGATGGGCATCTCTTTCATTGTAAATTAAACAATAATGTTAGAATGGAAAATAGATGCATTTGTGATTAAAGTTGTTGAATTCAACTTGAATTTGCTGTACTTCAAGGATTGATTTTACAAGAGTCTGTAAAGTTACAATGCGGTGTTTGGAAAATGTTCCTTTTTTTATTCTTTGGTCTGTGTGCATAGATGGTTGGGCCAGCATTCATTGCTCATCCATAGAAAGTGGCTGTGAGCTGCATTCTCAAATTGTTGTAATCCATGTGGTGAAGGTTCACCCCCAATGCTGTTAGGGAGGGAGTTCCAGGATTTTGACCGGTGACACTAAAGGAACAGTGACAAATTTACAAGTCAGGACAGTGAGTGGCTTGAAAGGGAACTTATAGGCAGTGGATCAGGCAGCAGCGGATATCTGCCGCCCTCGTCCTTCTAGATGGAGGTGATTTTCGGTTTGGAAGGTTCTGTTCAAGGAGCCTTGTTGAATTTCTGCAGTGCCACTTGTAGTTGGTACAAATAGCTACTACCAAGCATCAGTGATGGTGGGAGTCAATGTTGTGTGCCAATCAAATGGATGGTGTCAAGCTTCTTGAGTGTTTTTGGAGCAGCACTCATCCAGACAAGTGAGGAGTATTCCATCACACTACTGACTTGCACCTTATAGATGGTGTACAGGCTTTGGGGAATCAGGAGATGAGTTATTTACTACAGAATGTCTAGCCTCTGATTTGCTCTTATACCATAGTATTTATATGCTGGCCCTGTTCAGTTTCTAGCTAAAGGTAATGCCCAGGTTGTTGATAGTGGAGATTCAGTGATGGTAACGTCATTGAATGTCAAGGGCTGATTGTTAGATCATCTCTTGTTATAGATTCTTATCATTGCCAGGCAGTTGTGTGATGCAAATGTTACTTTCTGCTTGTCAACCCAAGCCCAGAAGTTGTCCAGATCTTGCTGCATTTGGACATGTACTGCTTCAGTATCTGAGGAGTCACAATGGGTGCTGAATATTTAGCAATCATCAGCAAACATTCCCATTTCTGACCTTATGATAGAGGGGAGATCATTGATGAAGCAGAGGAAGATGGTTAGATCAAGGACAATATCCTGTACAACTCCTATACAAATGTCTTAGAGCATGTTCTGAAGAAGGGCCACTGGACCCAAAACATTGACTCTGCTTCCTCTCCACAGATGCTGTCAGACCTGCTGAACTTCTCCAGCAATTTCTGTTTTTGGTTCAGATTTCCAGCATCTGCCGCTTATTGTCAATTTTTGTTGTTTTTTTTTCTCTCTAAAGCTTCCTATGTTTGCATTTTAACTTCAATTGTTTTATATCAAACTGCTGATGTCCTGGGAAACTTTAGACATGAGTTTAGAACATTGACTGGATTTTATTTCAATTGGTAGACCATAACAATTAGAAAACTGAGTTAACATTTTTGCTACAATCCTAATTGTAATTTTCTTTAAAGGAACAGCTTCTGGAACTCAGGATTCACTATCCATAATTGTAAGGATACATTAGAGCCCTGCTTTCATTTTTGTTAATGGTCCAACACAATCTACTAACATTTGATGACTTCTTTTAAAATCTCACATGTTGTGGTTTTTATACATGACATATATGCACTGACTTCTTATGAAGTAAAATATCTGGTTATTGAAACAGCATTATTCAAAAACCTAGGAACAGGAGTATGCCATTTAGCCCATTGAAGTTGTTCCACTTTTTAATAAGATCATGTCTGATCGAACACTTTAATGCATTTTACCACAAATGTCGAGATAACTCCTTACATCATTTATATTCAAAACTTTATTTAATGTTTTTAAATTATGCCCCCCTCCCACCTAGTTCCAGACTGCCCAACCTGGGGAAACACCTTACCTGCATTTATTTTGTCTATCCCTTTAAGTAAATCTCAATGAGATCACCTCTCATTCTTCGAAACTGTAGAGAATATAGACCTTGTTTGCCCACCCGCTCTTCATAGGACTATTCCACCATACCGGGAATATGTCTGGTGAGCCTTCATTACACTCCTTCTATGGTAGTCGTTCCTAAGATAAAGGAGATCAAAACTGCATGCACTACTTCAGGTGTGGTATAACCAAACCCATATACAATTGAAGCAACGCTTCTCAAATCCTCTTGCGATAAAGGCTAACATTCCATTAGTCTTCCTAATAGCTCATTGCACCTGCATAATAGCCTTCAGTGACTTATTGGCAAGGACACCCAAATCCCTTTGCACACCTACACTTTCTAAGTTCTTGCCATTGAAGAAATACTCTGTATATCTAGTCTTCTTACCAGAGCCACTAACCTCACAATTTTCATATTACATTCCATCTACCATGTTCTTGCCCAATCACTAAGCCTGTCCAAATTCTTTAGAAATGTTGACAAACAGTCCCTACTTCATCCCCAGGTCTGAGAGAATGTCTCTACTTCCTCATCAGAACTCCATTTCTAATATAATAGCACTCCAGATCTCTTCCAGCCTCAGCTTCAGTGTAAGCTGACTGTGCTATATCGCCTTGAATTCTGGACCTGCTTCCTAGCATCAATATATGAACACATATCAAAAAACTTTTTTTTAATTGTCCTCATTCTTCAAAAGAAGAATACTGCTTGCAGTATTTGTGTGACCTCATTGCCCTGGCCTCAATCCACATGATGGAAAAACACCTTGGTCCATCATGTTAACCTTACTTGGATTTCCACGAGTATATGTGAGCTGAAACTTTTAATTCAACCAAATCATTCCCAGGAGTAAATCAGCTCTGTCCATGGGTAATTGCTTAACAACCCCTTCTACCATTGGTCCAGAAACAGGTCACACTCCAACTGGACTTTGTACAGTGGGATATACTCTCCATCTATTCCTTTAATAGAGTGATAGAGCTATAGACCACAGAAACAGGTCCTTCAGTCCAACTTGTCCATGTCAACCAGATATCCTAAACTGATCTAGTCCCATTTTCCAGCATTTGGCCCATATCCCTCTAAACCCTTGGTATTCATGTGCACGTCCAGATACCTTTTAACTGTTGTAATTGAACTTGCCTCCACCACATCCTTGTGGCAGCTCATTCCATGTACGCACCACTCTCTATGTGAAAAAGTTGCTTCTCAGGTCCCTTTTAAGCCTTTCTGCTCTCACCTTAAACCTATGCCCACTAGTTTTGGGCTCCCTACCCTGGGAAAAAGACTTTGTCTATTTGCCATATCCATGCCCCTCATGGTTTTATAAACTTCTATGAGGACAGCCCTCAGCATCCAACATTCCAGGGAAAATAGCCCCAGCCTATTCAGCCTCTCCCTTTCACTCA